AAAGAGCTTCAGCCTGAGGGGCGACCTTTATACACATCAGAGGATCCACACAGGAGAAAAACCTCATAAATGCCTGGAGTGTGGAAAGAGCTTCAGCCTGAGGGGCGACCTTTATACACATCAGAGGATCCACACAGGAGAAAAACCTCATAAATGCCTGGAGTGTGGAAAGAGCTTCAGCCTGAGGGGCGACCTTTATAGACATCAAAAGATCCACACAGGAGAAAAACCTCATAAATGCCTGGAGTGTGGAAAGAGCTTCAGTCAGAGGAGCCACATTTATTCACATCAAAGGATCTACTCAGGAGAAAAACCTCATAAGTGCCTGGAGTGTGGAAAGAGCTTCAGTCATAAGAGCAACCTTTATCAACATCAAACGATCCACACAGGAGAAAAACCTCATAAATGCCTGGAGAGTGGAAAGAGCTTCAGTCAGAGGAGCAACCTTTATAGACATCAAAGGATCCATTCAGGAGAAAAACCCTAAAAATGCCTGTAGTGTGGAAAGAGCTTCACTAGTGCTCCACACCTCCGTCAACATCAAATAATCAACACAGGAGAAAAACCACATAAATGCCTCGAATGTTGAAAGTGTTTCAGTCGGAGAGTATATCTGTATGAACATCAAAGAATCCACTCAGGAGACAAACCATATGAATGTCGAGTGTGGAACGAGCTTCATTCAGAGATGAAACCTTTGCATATATCAAAAAATCCACTCAGGAGAGCAAACATGTCATTGTAAAGAGTCTGGAAAGAACTTTGGTTGGAGAGGAAACCTTGACACACATCAAAGAATCCACCCTGGAGAGAAAACCTATAATCACCCTAAAAGTGTGTTTTCACCAAAATAAGGCCTAGTGATTATTTGGGCCCCCAAAAGTTAATAAAGTCAGGTGTCATTATAGGGGAATATGGATATTGAGCCTGTAATTTAGCGTGTTGGCTATTCCTACCCTCTTAGTATTATCTGCAAATTTGATGTGTCCCCCATCTAGTCCCTCATTTAAGTCATTTATGAAGATACTGAAAAGTTCTCTGCCCAAGACGGAATCTTGTGGTACCCCACTGCTTCCTTCCCTCCCTGTACATATAGTACCATTAAGGACCACCTGTTGAGTAGTTTGTCAGCCAGTTAGAAATCAATCCATCCAACACAGTCATGAATTTCATCCCACAATGTTTCAGTAATAGCAACTATATCATACGTTACCTTCGTGCATTAGTGTTTCAGCCTCTCCCTGTCTATTGAGCATTCATATATAGGGATTAGAGTCCTCCTTGCATCTTGGCAGAATTCAAGTGTCAGGCCTGCCCCAACCTGGTCCATTAGGAAAGGAAGACCCTCGACCCTCTATGTGAGTTTTCTAAAGGTGGGTACCATCCCCAGATATCTGGAACTCTTGTCAGTTGGATTCTCTGAATGGTCCCCCTGTCTTCCAGCAGAAACTGCTACAAGGGACTCTCTGCTAGGTCTCATAGATCCCTATCGGACACTGCCGTTCTGGTTTAGGGGGAGGCCTGGGTATATTCCTCACTTTAGAACCCTTTTCCTACCTATCTTGTACTTTGAATTTCCTTCTTGGAAATAAACGGGGGGGGAGGGAATGAATTGAGGGCCATCTGTTAGGTCTCAGCATTAGACATAAGCAAGAGACGCCTGAAAAGAAGTTATCACTTTCTCAGGCGGCACTTCGAAGGCCAACAAAGCTTTGTGAGATACTAG